CAGCTGCGGAGGATAGGTGTCGCCCGGGACGCGTCGCGCGGATGGCGGCCGCCCACAGGTACGTCGTTCCGCACACCATTCCTTTCGTTGACTGAGTTGCCCAACAGATATCATTCAAAGCAATTGTGCGACCGGAAACGGGAAAACGACGCTCGCGCTGCAGCGTTAAAAGGGCCGAAGGAGACGGGCTGCGACCCGTTAAGCAGGATCCAAAGCGAGATTGAAAGCGAGGCTCAAAGGTCATTGGTGTCAACTCATTGGTTCCACACTTCCTTACTGCCAGTGGCCTCATGTTTAGGATGGACAAACTGTTAGAAGAGATACGCGAAGAGATGCGAATGCATAGAAGGTCCTTCATCATGGTTTCACGGCTACAGTTTGCAGGGCTCTTTGCCCTCACCGCATACACGATTTTGAAAACGCAATAGACATTTATTCATCTATCTGGCACATCGCTGCGTAATACATTGGCGCGAGACTTGTCCTTATTCCTGAAACATTATATTGTCACAAGGCGTGGAATGGCACAATGAAGATATGGGGCAGGGACTTCAAATGAGATATATCGAGGGTTTGACATTTCGCCGATCTCAAATGAGCATGTTCAATAGTACAAGCGTGTCTTCGTTTCGTTACCACCATACCGCTATTTCATATTGGCCCAGGCGCTGCAACCTATGCCTTTCCTCCCATTTTCTGGATTATCTTGAACAGCGTTTCGGCGCAGTAGGGCTTTTCGCCGTCGCATATTTTCTGGGTCATTTCCTTCAACCCTTCCGCCGCCTTGTCGGAGAAATTTGATGTGAGAACCCCGACCTCAAGTTCCTGGATAACAGGATAGCTATCCTGGACCATCAATATTTACAAGTAGCGCATGGATTACAACACGTACACGGAAGTGAAAGAAGAAAATACTTCTTCGAGGATGTTGCTTTCGGATAGCCGGGAAGAGATGGATGCCAGTGCGAGGGCTTGTAGTTCTTCGAGCCCGAGCTAAGGTCGTCCCGGGGTGAGCATCCTCGTCTATTTATGACGCTGTAACTCACTTTGTCAGCCAGGCGATACATCGACTTGGGCGAACACGCAGGGCCGCTGACCGTTGTTTCTTTCGGCCCCTCCGATTTAAGTGGTCGAAAATTCACGCGTCTGGTGTAGAGGTAGTACAAAAGTGCCTTCCAGCTACGGCGACCAAAGTCAGTTTCGCGATTGACTAGGATACTGAGGGACGAACGTTGTAAAAGCAGTATCCCTCAGTACAAAGACACGGCCCACCCGTGCTCCCTTTCCGCTGACCAACGCGGATTTAGTTTCTCCATCTGTGGACCCAGTCGCTACACCAGCCATAGCATCATCTTCGCCCTCTGACTCCAAGTCGCTGTCCGATTCGTAACCATAATCACGGAAGGCGAGCTCGTCGGGTTGATGTAAATCGAGGTCCACGATGGTAGCTTCGGAAAATCCGTGACCGATTAGCACTGAGGCCGCGAGATTATTTAGTTCGAGGTTCGAGATCGACTTGCAGGGCAAACTCACTGGCATCGAGATCATCCGAAAATCCCCGCAACAAAGCGCTCTTCGCGAACAGAGCAAGAGGATGAGTGACGCACTCCGTGCCCCTGCGGCTGAAGGCATAAAACTTGATATCGACGAGTTCTTTGCCAGAGAGAGTTTCCTCCAAAGCTTGTTCCATCTGCGGCTCTAGAGGGTGAGGCAGCGTTAACCCGAGCGAAGCCGGTAAGGTGACGGTGATTGAAATGGTCGGGGTCGGCGCGCTGCTCGCATAGACATATGTTCCCAGTGTATGGTTACCCCCGCCGAGAGGTAGAGTGTACTGGACAGAGGCTGGAGGCAACGGCTGCACAACGGAGATGAGGTTCTCCACATGAGTGGTGAGAGCAATGGCCCCGTAGGCCGCCGATCTGATCAAGTGAGGATCAAAGAAAAGCTGCAGCTGGAAGGATTCTATCGTATTGCCAGCGTCGTCCACGACCACCGCAGGCGCCGATTGCTGGTCAACCCGGAAAGCAAAGCGCCATCCAAAGCCACAGATAGCGGTGTATTGGACGCCAGCACCGACAGAAGTCGGCCGTTGGGCGGAACCCGTCGAGGGCTGTAGGGATAGCTGGAAAATCGACTTTACACCCGTTGGGGCCCACTCCTCTGTACGTTTCTCCATGGACTGTGTGTGTGAGAGAGGCCGCCCGTGTTTGTTTGGGTCTTGATTGCATCAATGATGTTATTTGGTACAATCACGTTCTGCCGCTCTTCCTTGTCCGCTCCCACAACCTTCGAAACGCAGGCATGGCAAGCTCAGCGGCGAGTCGAGTCCCCGAAGAAATAATCCCTGAAATTCCGACTCCGTTGCTCAAGCACTCCGACGTGGTCTTCTCTGACTGGACAGAGAACGATCTCCTCGATCCTGGCTACTCGTCATCCACGTCTCTGCTCGTCTGCAAAGCCTGGTTTTGCGTGACGACACCCTTGCTGTATATCGTAGTCATCCTTCGCACACCTCCGCAGACAGAATCCCTGAGAGATCTCCGCAAGAGTCACCTAGAGGTCGGACCCTTCATGAAGAACCTGCGCGTCGATGGCGGATTTGGAAAGGCAATATACCCTATCCTCCAATACTCTGCCAACATCACGAATTTTTCCTTCACGCTTTTCATCTGGGGGTCGACTAGTGTCCGTGGTTTGGCCAGCGCCTACCGCTCATTAATCCCCGGCGCGTCATCGTCGACGACGTTAGCGCCAAGTCTAGAACCCGGAATAAACAGGTTTCTCAGCTTTTTTGAACGCTCGTGGAATGTATGCCGAGGAGTGATAAGCTTGTGCGTTATCTTTTTTTCGTCCTCGTTACGAAGCCTGACTGCACTTGAGCGATGGTTTGTTCATCCATGCATCTTCGAGGATAGCCTGAAACCTACCTGCGCTGAGCGTTCAGAGGCTCTGATTGCGATGCTGGGATCTCTTCCAGTATCGAAACCCTGGTCGTACGCACCGGGTTCCTGCACTGTGCAGAGCGTGCCAGACCGGTCTCGTCAAATCATTACCTTCTCTGAACTCTCTCCAGCTCATCCAAATTATGAAAATATTCTACCCTGACGACGACCTCCGCACCTGGTGAATGACAACGCGAAAGTCAAAGCGCTCATAGACGGGTAACGATGAAAGCAGCAGAGCAAAATATAATCAAGACGCAATACACCTCCCCGGAAAACCACCAAAAGTTGGGCGTTCATAATCGCGCGCTCAGAATAAAGCAGGTACGCTTTTTGAAGCTCAGGATCTGGAAAGATGAGATGATTTTCTATTCTCCAGTTCGTATCCGAATGGAGAACGCACAGCCTTCTCACGTTGTCGACACACCGATCACGCCGATCACGGTACCCCGCTTTGCTCACACAAGCATCCCGACAACAGCTCTTCGATCCTCCGCTCACCTTCATGCTGGGCTTGCCTCAAGAACTTGTGGACGATATCCTCGACTACTGGGTGGATTCAGACCCCGATGGTCGTCCAGACGCCATGAGAACCTGTGGTCTCGTCTGCAAGCGCTGGCTCCCCCGCAGCCGATTCCACCTCTTCTCTCGTGTCACCCTGGACGCGGCTGACTTGCCGTGGTTCGTCCGCATAATCGACTCAAACTCGATCCCAATTCTCTCCTACATCCAGCACCTCACGCTGCGATTCGCGGGCCGGCAGATGGACGACGCACTGCTTACCCGACTGCACGGCTGTCCGAACCTCATCAGCGTCGAGGTCTGCATCTCCTCGATGTCGCACGATACAACAAACAACTTGCAGTTCTTCCGGGCTTTGCAGAAACATCTCCCGCTTCTGGCATCCAACCCCGCGTCGTTTTCGCGGTTTAATTTCAGGCTGCCGAGCCACCCGCTCGAGGGCATCCCAGTGGGCACCATCGTCGATATCCTCGGCTGCATTCCATCCGTGGAATACGTCGCCGTCGACGGGGTGTACTCGTACATCATCCCGGACCCGGACTTTGCGCGGCGAGAAGCGCCCGTGAGCCCGCTGTACATGCGCACCTTGGAGGTGCGCACGTACCAGGGCGTGCAGCTGCTCACTTCTGCACTGCTCTCGCACCACACCCTCCCGAACCTGCGCTCCCTCACCCTGCGCGCCGGCCTCGACCCCATCGAGGACTTTATCGCCCGCGTCGGCGCCCAGCTCGAGTCGCTCTCGCTCTCCTTCCTCGAAGCCCCGCGTGCCGGTCAGTCTCCGTCCCCCTATACCATTTAATTTGAATTCTAATTTCAACAACACCCGCAGTCCCCACCATCGGCCGCTTCGTGCGCTACACCACGCACCTGCGCTCCCTCCAAGTCTTCCTCCTCGAGCCCGCGCCGATCCTCAACATCCTCGCCGTCCTCCCGCCGTACAACTGGGACACACTTATATTCGTGCTCATCAAGGAGGATTATAATTATGCGCGCACGGTCATCCACTGGGGCGGGATCGACAGCGCGCTGGCGGACGCGCGGTTTGCGACGCTGCGCCGCTTTCTGCTGAAGCGCATCGCGGGCGTGGCGGATCGGACGCCGGTGGTCATGCCGGAGACGAGGATGTATATGCCGCTGGCGAATAAGCGGGGGATTCTGGGTTGAGGGGTGTTGTCGGAAAAGAAATATGTTGTATGTAGTATGTACTTCTAGTCGCTTATTTAATTTCGCTGCTGCGAAATGGCCTCCGTTGTTTATGGAATGCACGATAACTCGCGGGGAAGTTGAATGACGGTCAAATCCCAAGACAAGACCCTCGAATTCGAACCACCCAGCGTTGCATAACAGAAAATGGATCGACTTCAAGTTGGTGAAGCTTGACCGTGCAGATTACAGCTGCCTCAAGGATTCCAGGTACAGAACCATCCCAACGAGGAGGCAGTACAATGCTCAGCCCTGTCCTACTCAGTAGCGTAGAAGAAGACGCTCCTATTCAGTAGCGTAAAAGAAAACAAAAAAAAGCATACTCGGACATTACTCGGACGCCGGGAGTCGAACCCGGAACTGCCTCAGATGAGATATTTGATGTGCACCCCCCAAGTGAAAAGGCCGTGTAACCTTACACCACGTCCGATTCCTTGTCCTACTCGCATATATACACGGGTATCAAGTTAAACTGTCAGCGCGACGAGCAAAAAGAAAAGAGAAAGCGAATCTACGTATAGTACCATGACAGACGCCAGGAATCGAACCTCACCGTGTGACACAGGAGCGCATCGTAATTATTTGAATTCTGAAGAGACCGTGTAACGATATGCTACGTCCGATTCTTAACCATATGTGGAACCTGTTTCATACATCACTTTTCAGCGGCAGGCTGATACAACTTTCAAGCTCACCGCGCCGGGTAGTAGCCCACGTAAATCAAGACAAAAAAATGTGGTAGAGATTGGGCGAGGGAAGTAATTACCAAAGGCAGGTCGCACGACGAGCAACCAAAAAACAAATTGACCGTCAAGACACTCGGACGCCAGGAATCGAACCTGGGGCTGCCTCCCAATGCGACACACATAGCCGATCTAACTAAAGAGGTCGTGTAACAATACTGCACCACGACCTATTGCTTCCAAGTTCCCAGCAGCAGTGCCACCATAGCCGCGGCGCGTATAAAAGGTACAATCCAAAAAAATCCAAATTCCACCAAAATTCCACGCACTATAACTTTATAAAGTGTTCTCTTGTATTACACAAACAACCATGCATTAAAAGATGAGATGTCGATGACCGTGTTCAACTGACCCGCGGAACCGGACGGATCGGCGTTTCGTATGAATACGGCACCTCAAAGTGCCGCCATTTGGGCAACGTGTGTGGCTGCTCAAAAGTCCTTCACTTGCTCCTTCAACCACGCAATTGTGTCTTCTTCCAACTTGCTATTGGACGCAATGGGGTCCGCCTTACCCATGCGCGCCCACGGGATAAGGTACTGCCCAAAGTATGAGAATCAGCAATCAGGAGTGCAGATAATACCCACTTGGCCGTTGATCTGTTCAGGTGTGGCCGTCGTGCCGGCCCAGAGCTGTGTGTACGCGCCCATACTATGGCTGATTAGTGCGAGAACGGGCGGAGGGTTCACGGACTCACGGTGCGGCCGGCAGCCCAAGATCTAGCATGAGCTGCATCCAGCCGGGCAAGTGCCTCGTGGAATGTGTCAGTGGAAACACCGTACAGCGTATGTAGAAAAAAATACTTCTGCAAATCCGTGCGCACGGACCCCGGGTGAAGCGCGCAAGAAACAAGCACGTCGGAATGCATTTTAGCCCAGTGGTTCGAAACGAGGATATTCCCAAGCTTGCTCTCGCCGTACAACCGCCTAATTAACGTCAATCGTAAATCCCCCAAACAATTGTGGAAGTAAAAGAGAGAGCTGACCACGCCGCCTTGGTCGGGCTCAACTTTTTCAGCCAGGCATCGCGCTCCGGGCTGCCCGTGAGGGAGACAAAGTCGATGCCGGTGCCTGGGGATGCTTGTTTATGGCCCGAGGAGGAGGTGTTGATGACGCGCGCGGGAACTCCTGTTGCTTCGTGGGATGCGACGAGAGCAGGAAGCTTTCAAATTTTCCTGAGATGCGGAGCTCAAGAGAAAAAAACGCAACGCGTACCAGTAGCTCTGTGAGGAAATAATGCCCAGTGACGTTGGTTCCAAATTCTGCAACGATGTTAGTATCGTCCCACAACTCAGGGCACAAATACAAGGGGAAACGTACCCAGGTCTTGGTTCTGCGCCGTGAGCTGTTCGGACGGGGTGACCATGACTCCACTGGAATACTAATCTGTCTCGTCGTGGACGGCGTTGAACGCAATTTAACTCACCCGTTGTTGAACAGGACATCCAGACGCGGCTCTTGTTCAAGGAAAGCAGTCGCCGAGCGGCGTACGCTGGCCAAGTCCGCCAGATTCAGCTGCAGGAAGACGGCTTCTTTCCCAGTCTCCGCCTCTAGCTGTCGGATAGCCTCCGCACCCTTCTCTGCTGAGCGCGCAGCAAGATACACCTTTGCGTTTTTGAGTAGGAGATATCGTACGGTGTGGTATCCAATTCCTGCGTTTCCGCCAGTCACCAAGACAACCTGTCAGACGAATTTTGAGCTTGAACAGTGACAAAGAGGACCCGGCCTCCGGCCGCGGGCGTATGTACATACCTTGCAGGACAGATCAGGCATGTCGCGCTCCGGATGGAATGTCGACGGCGGTGGGTATAGATCCGTGGACAGCGCCGAATTCGGTGCGATTTTGGCTAGTAAGGATCCCATGGTTTTCGTTGGTTGAGCGCGGTCTATGCCCAAGTTGAGGGGATTGAAGGGATGTCAGAAGCGTCGGTGTCGAAGCTTAAATTTGCATGGCATATAAATGATACGCTGCGTGCTCATGTAGCTGCCGTAGATGGTGCGTTGGACGCGCGTCGCCAGGTTTGTCGCTATTCCCGCCGGGACAGGCGATCCCGGCGGCTTCTCCGGGATCCGGGACCGTTCTGCCGGAATTCGAACTTGGCATAAAGCGTCAAGCTGTGGTTCAACTGTGGTTCAATCAGGATGTGGGCTCACAACTACTTCGTTGCGCAGGAATTCATGAACGAGACTTGGGGCCGAAAACGAGTCCTTTTACCGAGAGAAAATCCATGAACTCCCGTTTAACAGCCTCGTCCTTCTCACATTTTGTCGTATCAGCCTGGACGACAGGTAAATACAAGACATGTTTATTTTCATCTCTATCTGCCGGATGTTGACGATTGACGCAACAATTAGGGAGAGAATCCTGACGCGTACGCTGACCCTCAATCAAAAAGCAAATTTCTCCCCAACAACCTCCTCCGAGATGGTCCACAGCTTCGCAGCATTCTCCTACAGCGCAAATGAAGAGTGTGAGCACAGCGGTAAATGCTAGGATAAAAAGAGGAAGGCTGACGGAATTCGAGCTGTGCGGAGCGATCTGCTCGTTCGCGACGACGCAGTCGACGAGGAACGCGCCGGCCTTGTCTGTTCCATACCATCAGGGATCGGCATAAGGGAAGATCAAGTTAAAGGAACAAACCCTCGAGACGTGTATCAAATGCCGCAGCGACGATCCTGGAAACGAAACAACAAATGAATTAATTATATTGGGAGGGTAAGTGGAAGGGCTCGGCGTACGTTGCTGCTCCCTGGGGATAGTCTTCCACTCGAATTTCTCGGTGTTGGGCGTCCCATCCGCATTGAGCGCGCCTGCCGACGGAGAAGTAAGCACTCCGACCTGGTCATTGGGAGCCGGGACAACGCACCAACCGCCACGAGATCATCCTTGTTCTGCTCTTTCTGGTTCAAGTTAGTGAAGACCGCTCCGGGATGCAGACTATAGGCATTGATCTTCCCCTGCGAGCGCTTCGACAGCTCGTTCGCAAAGAGGATGTTTGCACTCTTCGCCGCGGCGTATACGGGGAAGTTCGCGTACTTCGCCGCGTCGGGCTTGACGAGCACATCGAAGTCCAGCCCGGGCCCGATGGCGTGCACGCTGCTCGACACAAATACCACCCGGGGGGTAAAACTGGCGCTGCTGGCGGAGAGGATCTTGCGCGCAATGAGCTTGGTGAAGAGGAACGGGCCGAAATGAGCGGTGGCAATCTGCGGCTCGAGCCCATCAAGAGTAGGGGTCAGCTCTTTGGCACCGCCCGCGGCGGCATTATGGATCAGGACCTGGTCCGCGCACCGCACTCAGTAAATTGCAAGTTTAGAAGAGTGAAAGCAGGGGGCGGACATGAATTGGCTCTGGATATTCATTGACCTCTGCGGCGGCCTTGCGGACGGCCGCGAGAGAGGCGAGGTCGAGAACAAGCGGGCGGATATTGGCGTCAGGGCTTTCCTTCTTGATGGCTTCTTCGGTGAGTTTCAACCTAGCGGCAGCAATGCTCAGAAAGGGTACGAGGCAAAAACATGCGGGGATGAAGCACCTCTCCGTGTTATATCCAGTGATTATGACCAGGTTTGCGTGTTTCGCAAGGACGCGCGCTGTCTCAAATCCCATCCCATTGATAGACGTGCCAGTTATGAGGACTTTGAAGCGTCAGAAACCGCCCTTGCGAATTTGTGAGGCAGCCCTCACCGTTCTTGCCTCTGATCTGCTCGGCGAAAGTAGTTGCTACCTCCTAGGCAGTTGTGTTAAATGTGAAAGCGGGTAGAGACATAGTGAAGTAGGACTTGGATTTAAGTAGGTCGAATGGGTCTTTTTTTAGTTTTAAGGGTTTCTACGGAGCCGGATGACTGAGGCATTTCCGTTCGAGTCGGCATATAATCCCCAACGATGCGGGCCGTCGCAGGGTCGGCAGTGACCTGGCTCAAAATTATGGATCCGAATTGCCGTCCAACTTACGCGTCCACGGCATGCATATAAGGCCTCTTATTGGAGTAATTGAGATCATTGCCCCGGGCATACCTCGCGCATGACCTCGGGCATCGGGCAAGCCGCCAGTGCATTGTGGAGTAGAATATCGTAGGACATATGGCATTTTCTGTACATTTCCGAAATGACTCCTCCCCGTAGTATATAAGACCTATCATTTACCTATGAATAGAAATTCCATCTTGTCTTCTCCCCTCCCTCACCTGTGTGTGATTAACCGTAAGGACCCCGTGTCAGGTAATTTACATTGCGCTAAGACTCAGAGATAAATCATCACCGACACGCATGCGACTCCGACTCGGAGCGAGTCCAACTTACGTGTCCACGGCATAACTCTTACATAACTCTAACGTAGCCAAAGTGCCGTCGCTGAGGCATGAGGAGAGGGTGCATTCGTCTAGTTGTGATGGCATCAAGGAAGCGAGAAGCACGCGCCCTTTCTCGGTTCCCGCCCGCTTTGACATGTCTCCGTCGCCGCCTGCCCCGCCGTACGCCCGTCCTGCTGCTCATCGCTACAGTGAATGCGATCCTCAGTGTCTACTGCTCACCCAGGCGACGGAGAATCTCCCACCTTCTCGATCTCGGCTTTTTGGCGCATTCATCTCTCGTTTATCTCTCTCTCTCCGAGTCTGTACAAGTTAAATGGCGGATATCACTCCTGTCGCTACACGTCTTGTAATGGCTTCGGGTGCCAATTAGAGAAAAA